GTGTGATATAGCTTTATGCTTAAAAGTTTATCATAGAATACTGACCTGGCAGGGAGATACCAGGATCACGAAGGTGGTTTTCCCAGGCCGAGGCTTATCCATTGCACTGCGGATGTGCTGACCCCTGCGAGTTCCCCAAATGTGGGAAACTCAACTGCATAATTGGTGGTAGTGGGGACTGCGTTTGCGCTCTCCCCTATGATAATAAATAAAAGTAAAAAAGAAAAAAGTCTATCATAGATGAATAGGCTACTCTGCACGCACACACAAAGTATATACATTTAAACATTAATTTTTTTCTTACCATAGAAGTAATTCTGCATTGCGCTATTATGAACCCTAAGATCTTATAAAAACTTGTGAAAGTAAGATGTAACTATTCCAAATTACTTTGACAAATTTCTATATGATTTTAGATACCTATCTATTCCAAATTTAGATCATTATTATCAAAGTCAAACGATGTTGGAATTGCTCCCTGGGTTCATGCCTCTCTGGAAGAATAGCGCTTATGGTGGACTGGAACAGGGCTTGTCGTCACTTTGTATTCCTTATCGTTTCTCTTCCAAGTGTGAACCCAGTCAATGACAGCTTGTGTGCCAGGATCATATGACTTTTCTCCAACCCTTTCTGGCTTCCCAAGGTCTTTAATATAAAAGCAGGCAGCCTGCATTCTTTTTTGTTTTGTCTTGTTTACTAAGTTAAGGGGCCCTGAAGGCATAGTGGGTGGAGTGAGTTGGTTACACATTGGGCTGTTAACCACAAGGTCAGCAGTTTGAAACTACTAGATGCTCCTTAGGAGAAAGAGGAGGCTTTCTACTCCTGGAAAGTTAGTCTCTAAAACTCACAGGGGTAGTTCTACCCTGTCCTATGGGTAGAACCATGCATACATCAGAATCAACTCAATGGCGGTGAGTGTGTGTTTGTGTGTTTTGGTTTTAATGTAAGCGATATCAACTTATACAGAAGGCAGCACAAAGTCTCCTCAGAGTCCCAGAGGCCAGGCATGAGCCCACTGACATCAGGGCAGGTAAGAGTTAAAAGGGAGGCAGGTGTGTTTGCCCTGCAGGAATGCCCGCCCCCTTTTCCTAGCCCACAGCCAGTGTGTGCTCTGGCCAGCCCAACTTAGACAAATAGTCCTTGGTTTCCCTCTGCCAACAAAAGTGTGTGAGGACTCTCAAGGCCAGGCCCTGGGAATAATAGGAACGGTTTCTTTAAAGGGTTTGCATCTCGGTGGGGGGAGGAAAGGGGAACCAATGACAATGATCAACATATAACGCCCCCCCCACACACACACACACATACATCCAGGGTGATGAACAACCGAAACAAGGGTGAAGGGAGACAACGCATGGTGTGAGATATGAAAATAGTAATAATTTACAATTGATCAAGGGTTATTGAGGGTGTGAGGGTAGGGAAAGGAGGAAAACAAAAACCAAAAAACCGAGGAGCTGATATCAAGGGCTCAAGTAGAAAGAAAATGTTTTGAAACGGAGGATGGCAATGTATGTACAAATGTGCTGGACACATGGATGTATGGATTGTCAGAAGAGCTATAAGAGCCGCGAATAAAATGATTTAAAATAATAATAGTAAAATGAAGGGTTTGCATCTCAAGAGACTCAATTACTTTAGTCCCTTCTTCCCATCGTGTTCCCGTGCTCCTGCAATCTAACTGAAGAATTCATCGGAGACCTCACTGCCATCAAGTCAATTCTGATCCATGGTGACCCTAAAGCATCGGGTTGAATCTACTCGGTGGGTTTCTGAGGCTGTAATTCTTTACCGGAGTAGAAAGCTTCCTTTTTCTCTCGAGGAATGGCTGGTGATTTAGAACTGCTGACCTGTCAATGGCCCAGCCTGTGACTGACTGCTATCGGGGCTCCTTAACCTAACTTAATAAACCACACAGGAAACCCGGTTCTCGAGGCCCCATAACGATCCTAAAGGACAGGGGAGGGCTCCTAGGGTGTGAATCTTTGTGGAAGCAGACTGCCACATCTTCCCCTCCAGAAGTGCCTGGTGGCTTCCAACTGCGGACCTTGCCCCCAGAATCCCCAGACTCCACAGAATTCTCCAGAGAATTGTGATGTTAACATTTCTCCTGCTGCATCCCTTCTAACTACCAGACAGGAAGTCTTTGCATCTGGCCACCCATGGAGCTAAAAAACTACTTGCTAAAGAAAAGAATGATTTTTGTAGGTCTATGGGCCTAATATTTTGGCAATTGGCTGCAAGAACAAGAACCTGAATATTTGGCATGTTTTCCACCGTTTTTTCGTGTCTGTATGTGTGTGACTAAATTGCTGTCTGGCTTTCCTGCCTCTGTCACAAGCAAGGCTCTTCACTGCCAGGTCTGCTCTGTTTCAAGGCTCCTGCATGTGGGCAACTCTTCCCCACCCCCATAACTGCACCTGGATTTTGTGTGTATTATATTCTCTTTGAGTAGAGAGTTAGGAATGCAGGGAAACATGAAATTACATGTGCTCCCACCATCTACATACACACCAATCATTTCTTAAACCCTCACTCTGGGTTAGAGTGTTAAATGTGTGAGCCTCTGGAGATGTTTCCATCCTGGCTGGTCTTGAACCCAAGGTCTGATCCAAGTTCTCTCTCTCCAGCTTCCACTCCACAAAGATCCCCGGTGGATGATGTGCTGGGCTGCAACTGCAAGATGAGCCATCTTCCCTTGTAAAGATTCACAGCCATGAGGAAGGGGGGAGCGGGGAGGGAGGGGAAAAATGAGGACCTAATGTGGGGGTTTAAGTGGAGAGAAAGTTTTGAGAATGATGTACAAATGCGCTTTACACAATTGATGTGTGTATGGATTGCGATAACAGTTGTATGAGCCCCTAA